GAGGCCTCCAGGGTGCCAAGACCGCTCAGTGACTGATTGTGCGGTGAGGTCTCTTGGGATTTCGAGGTCATCGCGCGGTCTGTCACCGCACACAATTGGGACCCCCAATCTGTTCAGGCAGTTGCCAGCCAGGGGTTGTTGTTTGTGGCGGTGATTGAAACAGTATCCAGGCGCCTGCTGCTGCCGCCTTCCTCTCACTCATCCCTCCTTCTCCGCCCTTCCTCTCCCCCATTTCTCGCGCATGGCGGAGCCCAGGTCGGAGGTTGGGGGGTGAGATCGAAGTGGAACGGAGAGCCCCCCACCGGGAAATCGGTTTCGGTTTCGTGTTCGTGTCGTGCGTGCGGGCGAGGCGAAGCTGCGTGCGCGGGCGAGAGGAATTCATTATGCTGTCGCTAGTGGTTCGCCAACATAAATGTTTCCCCCGCCGGCGCGTGTCAAGCGGTGGCCCGCATTGTCCCGTCGGTTGCCCGCCGTTGTCTTGTCTGTCGCTAGTGGTTCGCCAACATAAATGTCTCCTCCGCCGGCGCGTGTCAAGTGATATCCCGCATTGTCCCGTCGGTCGCCAGCCGTTGTCCTGTCTGTCGCTAGTGGTTCGCCAATATAAATGTTTCCCCCGCCGGCGCGTGTCAAGCGGTAGCCCGCATTGTCCCGTCGGTCGCCTGCCGTTGTCCTGTCGTGAGATTGATAGTGAGATCGATCGTGAAATTGATAGTGACACCGGAAGTGAGGTCGATAGTGAGACCGAATGTGAAACCGAATGTTGGATCGATAGTAAAATCGATAGTGCGATCGATCGTGAAATTGATGGTGGCACCGAAAGTGAGATCGATTGTGAAATCGAATGTGAGATCGATAGTGGGATCGATAGTGAGATCGGTTGTGAGATCGATTGTGAGATCGATCGTTAGATAGATAGTGAGACCGATTATGAGATCGATTGAAAGATCGAGCCCGCATTGTCCCGTCGGTGGCCCGTCGGTGTCTTGTCGTGAGATCGATAGTGGTATCGATCGTGAGATCGATTGTGAGATCGATAGTGACATCGATAGTGATATCGATAGTGAGACCGAATGTGACATCGATTGTGACATCGATTGTGATATCAATTGAGATCGATAGTGAGACCGATTGTGATCTCGATAGTGAGATCGATAGTGAGAGATATTGTGAGATCCATAATCTGATAGTGGGTTCGATAGTGAGACCGACTGTGATCTCGATAGTGAGATCGATAGCGAGATATATTGTGATATCCATAATCTGATAGTGGGAACGATAGTGAGATCGACGGTGAGATCGGTCGTGACATCGATTGTCAGACCGAATGCGAGACCGAATGTTGGATCGATAGTGGTATCGATAGTGAGATCGATCGTGAAATCATCATTGTCCCGCCGGTTGCCCATGATGGTTGCCCATCATGGTTGTTCATCACGGTTGCTCATCATTTTTCCGCGGGCTGCTCATCATGGTTGCTCATCATGGTTGCTCATCATGGGACACCATCATGAATGCTCATCATGGGACACCTTCTCTTGCTTTTCCTCCTCGTATCCTTAATTTTAATTCTAACCTAATTTTTTAGATGTTTAGTTCGGTTCAAGGGCTCAGGCCATGCGACGCAAGTCGGTCAGCTCGTCCCATTTTGTGCTAGGACGGAGGCTCGATTGCCATTCATCGCCTCCCTCCTCCTCTCCTCCCTCCTCTGAGGATGGCGGCCTCCCAGGCACTGCCAGCGCGACCCCCGAGGCAGGATAGGAGAGGTCCGGACGCACGCACCAGGCCCTGCAAGTGCACGCATCGTCGATTGGACCGTCGTGGGGTGAGTGCCGCGTCGCGCAGCGGCAAACCGAATGACACAAAACGCCCAAGCGAAAGAACAAAAAAAAATCCGCCACGTCATCCACACCATCATCGGCCATCAGCACCACATTCACCACAGTTGTCGTCATGAGCCCCTCCCTCCCCCCCCCACAACCTCCTTATCACCGGCAGGGTGGTCGTATAGGTATGATGGGGGCCTATGGTTCGGACTGTTTCGGATACGCGCCAGAGTCGATGTCGAGGGACGGTTGACCAATGTATTCCGTCTCAAGTGATCGGCGGTTCGCCAGCATTGAGCTCCAAAAGGTCAGGATGAGGGGGCCGAACGGTCAATCATTGTCCCTTGGTGCGTGGCTGAAGTGGGTATCCGTGGTGAGGATTCTGCTTCGCTTGTTGCGTTGTTTGTTTGTTGTCGTCGTCCCACCCGCGACCTGCCCGTGACCCACCCTGCGACCCACCCCGCAAACCACCCCGCAAACCACCCCGCAAACGACCCCGCGACCCACCCCGCGACCCACCAGCGACCCACCCGCGATCCACCCCGCGACCCACCCGCGACCCACCCCTCGACCCACCCACGACCCACCCCGCGACCCACCCGCGACTCACCCCGCGAACCGCCCGCGACCCACCCCGCGAACCATCCGCGACCCACCCGCGACCCACCCGCGACCCACCCCGCGACCCACCCGCGACCCACCCCGCGACCCACCCGCGACCCACCCGCGATCCACCCAAGACCCATTTGCGACCCACCCGCGACCTACCCCCAATGGTTTAACGACAAAATCAGCGCTTGGGGCGGGCTCGTTGTATAATTTGTAAAAATGTTGGTGCTTCGGCGGGCCTCTCCAGAATCTCGCAAACTGCCACGTCCCCACCGCCCCCTCACTCTTATCCGCATCTGCGGGGTGCTACGTACAACCATGTTTCAGGTACGTGCCAGAGGCGATGCCGAGGGGCGTATGCCCGACAGACTTTGGCCTCAGTGATCGCTAGTTCGCCGAGACAGGACTTCCAACATTGAAGCGGCTACGTTCGAACCTTGGCATCGGAGGCTCGAAGCCAAGGTTCTCATAAGACAGTTCAGTTGTAGCCAGCTGTTGATTGCACGTGCATGTGTTTGCTCATGTTTCTAAGCAAGTGGGTTTCCATGATTTTCGTCACGTTCGCGCCCGTGCCCGCTCGTGGGCGCCTCGTGGGCGTCCCGTGTGCTGGGTGGGTTGCCCGGGGTTCGGCACGTTCGCGTCCGTGCCCGGTCGTAGGTGCCTCGTGGGCGCCGCGTGGGCGCCTCGGGGGCATCGCAGAGTTTGCACCGCATAACCACACCGCATAGGTTGCTGCACATCGCTCACACGACCTATTGCACGTTACGACTGTCATCACCCAGCTTACACAACGCAGCTTGCACAACACTGCGCACATGACATACCCCACGCCGCATAGCTCGCACCACATGGCTTCCACCGTATGTAGCTCACACCACATAGCTTACATAACACAGCTCATACCACATAGCTTGCACTGCATAGCTTACAGCATCTCTCTCTCTCTCTCTCTCTCTCTCTCTCTCTCTATATATATATATCAACTTAATTTGCATAACATCGCTTTCACCATATAGCTCACACCGCGTACCTTACACCGCATAGCTTGCACATCAAGAATGCAATAACTCACCGTCTGGGGCCAACGCTGGCTAACATATGCTATCCTTTCTGTGTTCGCGTCAGATACCCCTCCCTCGCCAGTCCTCCCCCTCCCGCTAATGTGGACAGCTTATTGACTCTCCACAGACAACGACAGCTGTCCGCCCCTCGAGCTTTGCAAAAGGAGCCATTGGAGGTTTTTTTCAGCAGGGGCTGCACGAAGGTGAGGTCCGTCTTGGGCGACTGGGAGTCGCTCTGCTTACGGCAACGAAGCCGGACCGTGCACGTTGCGTGTCTCTTGCGGGAGAGGGGCCTTAGGGTGTGAGAAATCCTTTCGCGCCCGACGACCCCCGAAGTGTCGGCGGACCGATGACCCCCGAAGTGTCGGCGGACTCCCAGATCACAACTTCTTCGAGTACAGAGGTTTGAAGTAGGATTACATTTTCGTTCGTATGCTCAGTGCAATCAGCGTTGACAAGAATTTGTTTGTCGATGCCACATCGTTTTGCAGAACCCCCCAGGAGGCCGATATGATAGTCGCCGTCACCGTTCCTTCAGTAAGCTCGAGCTCGAGGAACCCGAGGAGGGCCGTCCAGCTTTCTCTATCCCAAGGAGCCTCTTGCAGACAGAGCCGCCGCCGCCGATCTTCGGAGCTGGTCGCGCGGGCCCCCCGCCGCCAGCCACCGACGGCCAGCTCTCGGGCCCACCGCCGCCCTCGCGAGGCACGGCGCAGCCCAGCCTCGCCGTGCCTGCACCAGGAGTGGCCTGCACCGGCTTCGCCTCGCCGCCACGGGAGCCTTCGCGGACGGGCTCGTCCCCTCTGGTTCCCGGGACAGCGAGGCCGAGCCCGCCGCCATTGGTTCCAGGTGCCGCGGCGCCCGGGCCGCCGCCGCCGCCCAGGGCCGTGTGTCGACCGGGCCCGCCTCTTGCTGCCGCTGACTCCGCCAGCGCTGGCCCCCCGCTGCTTCTGCAGAGCCCCGCTTGACCGAGCTCACCGGCCTCGCCCTCCGGCCTCGCGCGCCTGAGAGCCCCAGCCTCGACTACGGGCGCTGTCCACCCGGGGTCCCCTCTGCCTCTTCGGAGCCCCTCCCGCCCCGGCCCGCCTGCCCCCGCCCTCAACAGCGCGCGGCCTGGCGCACCGCCGCCGACGCGCACGTCCGCTCGGCTGGGCTCCGCGCCCTCCCTGCCTGGGTGCATCAGGCCAGGGTGCACGCCGCTGGTCGCCGATCTCGCTGACGTCGGCGCCCCTCTGTCGCCGCGGGGCCTCTCGCGCCCGGGCCTGGTGGCGCCTGCCCCAGACGCCGTGGGCTCAGGCTCCCTGCCGCCACTGCGCGGGCCCTCCCGCCCTGGCCCCACGGCGCCCCCAGTTGGCCTGGCTCGGCCAGGAAACCCAGCCCCGACCTCGAACACGGTGCAGCTTGGCGCCCCCCCGCCGTCGCAGGGCCTCTCGCGCCTCGACTCGGCAGCGCTGGCACCGCAGCCCGCCCGCTTTGGCCTGCCGTTGCCGCCCCGCAGCGCCGCGCGCGCTGGGCCAGCGCTCCTGCCACTAGGCATGGCGCGGCCGTGCCCATCGCCGTTGGCCTCGGATGCGGCGCACCCCGCTGCGCCGCCGCCGCTCCAGAGCCTTTGCCGCTTGGAGCCTCCTCCTGCCGCGCTGGACGCGGCGCGGCCAGGTCCGCCGACGTTGCCGAGGTCGTTGGTCCATCCAGGCCCGCCCGCGTCAGCATGCGGAGTTGCCCGCCTGGGTCCAGTGTTTTCGCCGCTTGCGCCAGAAGTTATTCAGATTGGCGCAAGTACGTCGCTGCGCAGCCTCGCCAGGCCAGGTCCTGCCCTGCTCGCCACGGATGCCGCGGGACTGGGGGCGCCGCCGCCATCGCAGCGCCTTGCCCGCCCAGGCCCAGCGCCGCCACCGTCTGGCCGCGCCAGTCCGGGCCTCGCCCCACCGGCGCCTGGCTGCACGAGGGCTGGCGCGGCGCCACCGCCGCGAAGTTCCGCCCGCCCAGGGCTGGCCGCGCCAACCTCCGACACGACGGCGCTGGGCGCATCTCCTTCGCCACGGTCCTTGATGCGGCCTGGGTCGCCTCCCGCGCCACTCGGCCTAGCTCGCACGAGCTCGGGCCTTCCAGTGATGGGCCACATGTCCGCAGGCTCGCCGCTGCCGCCGCACGCCCCCGCCCGTCCAGGCCTGGCCACTCTGGCACTGGAGTTCGCCCGGTCTGGCGCCCCCCTCTTGCCGAGGAGGTCCTCGCGCCTGGGGCCTGCGCCTGCGCTGTCAGGCGTGGCCAGAGCTGGCCCGCCGCTGCTCGTGCTGGGCAGCGCCTGCGCTGGCGTCCCGCTTACGCCGAGGAGCGCAGCTCGTCCAGGACTTGCGCCGCTTGCTCTTGACGTTGCGGGCTTGGACTCGCCACCACCTCTGAGGTCGCCAGCGTGTATGGAGTCCGCGCCGCCGCCTGCTGGCGCGGCGCGGCCTGGCCCGTCTCCACTGTTGACGAGCTTCGCGGCATCGGAGCCTCCGCTGCCGTCGCGAGGCCATGCGCAGCCTGGGGCACCCGCGCCCGCAACCTGCTCTGCAAGGCCCGGCTCCCCGCCACCGCTGCGGCAGGTGGCGCGCACAGGGCCCACGCTGCCACCGCCTGGAATGGCGCGCCCAGGGTATGGCCCGCCGGTGCCCGACCGCTGCACTGTGGGAGCCCCCCCGCCGTCGCGCGGCCGTTTGCGCCCTGGGCCTCCTCAGCTGTCCGCGTTTGACCGCGTGACCTCAGGCTTGCCGCCGCCCTTGCACAGCCTCAGCCGCCCAGGACCCTCGGCGCCATCGCCAGGATTAACCCGCCTGGATGCGGCCGTATCCGTGGCGGGCCTGGCTCACCCCGGCCCCCCGCCCTCGCCAAGGAGCTCCGGGCGCCTGGAAGCGCTCCCGCCAGCGCCGAGCAGCTTCTGCACAGGCTCCTCTCCTGCCGTGCGAGGATGTGTTCGGATTGGCTTTACGCTTAGCTACTACGGCCTTGCGAAGATCGGCCTCCCTGCGCCACTCGCCAGCCTAAACCAGCTGGGCGCGCCGCTGCCTCCTCGCAGCTGCTGCCGCCCTGGGCCTACGCCGCTGGCTTCCGACCACTCCCACGCCGGCCTGCCGTCGCCGCCGCGGAGCTGCGCTTGGCTGGGTGCTCCGCCGCCTATGCCTGGCGCCGCGCGGCCCGGCGCCCCGACTCCGCCCGTGGGCGCGGCTTCGCCAGGACCGCCGTTGCCGCCGCGCTCACACCTGCGCCCTGGCGCTGCGTGGTCGGCGACCGGCCTTGCGGAGCTTGGGCCGCCGCCGCTTCTCCGGGGTCCTGCGCGGCCCAGCCCCTCCCTCCCGCTGCTTGGCGCTGCTCGCCCTGGCCCGCTCCTGCCCGTCCCCGGCGCTTCGGCGCCTGGCCCGCCACCGCTACCGCAGAGTGCCGCTTGCTCAGGGCCGCCTCCGCCAGCGCTTGGGGCCGCCAGCGCAGGGCCCTCGCCTCCTCCTCGCGGCTCGGCGCGCATCGGCGCCGGGCTTCTGGCGCACGGCATGGCGAGGCTGGGCCCGCTGTTCCCTCCGCCTGCGATGGACCTGGCGATTGCTGGCCTTCCCTCGCCGCTGCGATCTGTCGCCCAGCTGGACGCGCCACCGCCTGCGCTAGGCAACGCGTGCTCGGGTCCATCTTTATTCCTGCGAAGCACGATGCGCCCAGATCCCATGTCGTCCTCATTGGGCACGGTGCGGCTGGATCTTCCGATGCCAGCCCCCGGGGTGGCCAACGCTGGCCTGCCGCCGTCACTGCGCAGTCCCTCTCGCCTTGGGGCGCCACTCGCCGTACCTGGCGCAGCAGACTCAGGCCCGCCTCTTTCGCTGCACAGTCCCACCTGCCCCGGGCCTGCGCTGTCTGCCGCCGGCGAGCTCCGCTCGGGCACGGGGCCGCCCGCAGTGGACGCGACGCAACCTGGGCCATTGCCGCCAGCGCAGAGCACGGCGCGTTCGGGGCCGCCGCCGCCCGCTCTCGGCTCCGTCCAGCCAGACTCTGTCCCGCTGGCGAGGAATATGTGCCGCCTGGGGCCAGCGTTCGCTCCGCCAGGCACCTCGCGACCTGGAACACTGCCGCCGCCCCTTGGACGTGCGTCGCCCGGCCCTCCGTCCCCGCCGCGGTCTTCCACACGGCCAGACCCAGCGTGCTCCGCTCTGGACCACTCGAGGCTTGGCGCGCCGCCCCCGCTCCGCCACTCCGCCCGCATCGACCCGCCGACGCCTCCGCTCGGACCCGCTCGCATGGGGGAGACGCCGCTGGCGCTCGGCACTGTCCAAACCGGCGTGTCGGCGCCACCGCGCAGCCCTGCGCGCGCTGACGCTGCCCTGCCAGCCGCGGGCGCCGCAAGGCCCGGCAGCGTGTCCCCGCTGCTGGCGACGGACACCACACGGCCAGGGCCCCCGCCGCCTCTGCGAGGCTGCGCCTGCCCAGATCTGCCCCCGCCGGCGCTGGACCGCGCCAGCGCTGGGCCGCTGCCGCCGCTGCGGCACCCCGCCCGCTCGGGCGCACCGCCCGCGCCGTGCGGCATGGCCAGGCCGGGCCCGCCGCCGCCAGCGGCCAGCTCCGCCGCCCCCGGCGCCCCGCTGTTGCCGAGGGGCCCTGCGCGCTGTGGGCCGCCGCCCCCCGCCCTGGACGCCGCGCACGCGGGGCCCGGCCCGCCGCCGCGCAGGCCTGCTCGCCTGGGACCGCCGGCGGCCACGTGCGGAGCCCAGACGGCCCCCCAACATTTTGTCGGCCATTGGCGGGCCGCCGGCGGCCGCACCGCGCGCTGATGGTTCAGACGGTATCGCTCAACTAGTCCCCGTCCCCATCCCCTTGAACCCCCCCCACCATATTACCCCCCCAGTTGGGGATGCACCCATCGAAACCCGAAGGGAACGGCCTATATCCCCATCTGGGGGGTAAATCGGCCAGTGGGGCCCAGGCCACGCCGCTGGGGATAGGGATCGATTGAACGATACTCATTCGGAGGAGGGTTGAGACAACGGCGTTTGGCATTCAGCTCGGAAAGCGAGCTGGCGCGTGTGGGCCCCTATGGAGGGGTCCGGGGACCGATTCTGAGCTGCCCTTGTCTCGACTCGCCCTGCTCCAAGATGTGCGGCCGGTGCTCCCAAAGCTTCTTCGCCGGAGAGCCCCGTCGTCGCCTGCGCTGGACTCGACCCAGCAAGCTTGCCAGGGCGGTGTCAGGGAGAAGTCCGAGGACTCGTTCTGACCGTCCCTGGCCAGGTGACCCGTTTTGATTTTTCTCCGAGGTAGCGCATGGATAGGACGACCTGCCTAATGACAGCCGCCCCCTTGTCGCGGTTGTGGTGTTGCTGCGTGACGGCGCACACGCAGGCGGTCGTTGCTTCCTTACTCGTCCTCTTTTTGTGTCTCTTCTGATTCGTACACTTTTGTTGTTCGTATGTGTGTGAGTAGCACTCATGTGATCCCCACATTCGAAGTGGGGTTCTGATTTTCTCTACACCCGCGTCACACCCGCGTTCACTTCCACCTCCTCCTTCTCGCTCGTACACACACCACACCACACCACATCACACCACACCACACCACGCCCCGTCACACCACCCCACACATCACCACACCACACCACACCACACCACATCACACCACACCACACCACACCACATCACACCACACCACACCACACCACATCACACCACACACACCACACCACACCACACCCCACCCCACCCCACCACACCCCACCACACCACACCACACCACACCACACCACACCACACCACACCACACCACACCACACCACACCACACCACACCACACCATCATGCACATCACATCACATAAGGAGACACACGCACATCACATCACATCACACCACGCCACACCACACCACACCACACGGAAAGCGTGGCGGGTGTTGCACTGTCTCGACACCATAGAGGGTGCGCAGGGGGTTGGGGCCCTATCCGCGCCAGTCGTTCAGGCACAGCAGGTGTTGCACTTTCTCGACACCATAGAGGGTGCGCAGGGGGTGGGGGCCCTTTCCGCGCCAGTCGTTCAGGCACAGCAGGCGTGGCACTTTCCCGACACCATAGGGTGTGCGCAGGGGGTGGGGGCCCTATCCGTGCCAGTCGCTCAGGCACAGCAGGCGTGGCACTTTCTCGACACCACAGGGTGGGGGCGCTATCCGCGCCAGTCGTCTAGGCACAGCAGGTGTTGCACTTTCTCGACACCATAGAGGGTGCGCAGGGGGTGGGTGCCCTATCCGCGCCAGTCGTTCAGGCACAGCAGGCGTGGCACTTTCTCGACACCGTAGAGGGTGCGCAGGGGGTGGGGGCCCCATCCGCGCCAGTCGTTCAGGCACAGCAGGCGTGGCACTTTTTCGACACCATAGGGGGTGCGCAGGGGGTGGGGGCCCTATCCGCGCCAGTCGTTCAGGCACAGCAGGCGTGGCACTTTCTCGACACCATAGGGGGTGCGCAGGGGGTGGGGGCCCTATCCGCGCCAGTCGCTCAGGCACAGCAGGCGTGGCACTTTCTCGACACCACAGGGTGATCCGCGCCAGTCGTTCAAGCACAGCAGGCGTGGCACTTTCTCGACACCACAGGGAGTGAGCAGGGGGTGGGGGCGCTATCCGCGCCAGTCGTTCAGGCACAGCAGGCGTGGTACTTTCCCGACACCACAGGGAGTGAGCAGGGGGTGGGGGCCCTATCCGCGCCAGTCGTTCAGGCACAGCAGGCGTGGCACTTTCTCGACACCACAGGGGGTGCCGCCCTGGTCGTCCAGGGCATCCGCCCTGGTGGTCCTGCTATCCGCCCTGGTCGTCCCAAGCAGCGTCATCATTACACGCATCGTCGCCCGCACCGCCGCCGTTTTGGCTCAAGCAATCCGCCCAGGGAGACCCGGGGCCATCCGCTATCCGCCCCGGGGTCGGAAAGCGTGGCAGGTGGGCCACTTTCTCGACACCATAAGGGGGTGTGAGGAGGGGTTGAGAGGAGCACGGCGGGGCGCTATCCGCCCGGGGGTCGGAAAGCGTGGCAGGCGTGTCACTTTCTCGACACCATAAGGGAGTGCGCAAGTGTTTGGTATACAAACACAAGAGAGATAAAAGCAGTATGTGGGTCCCTCGGTAGCATATTATGATTCGTCTTCTAAGTTTTCTGCATTGCATTATGATTCTTATGATAGTATTATTGTTATTATTTCGTCCACTCCCTGCTGCTGTGCCCGCCTCCTCTGCAAGCTTGGTGGGAGCAATCAGGTTGCAGCCGCGGACTTGCGCTCCCGGCCTGGCGTTTCGCGTGAATGCCGCGCTAGCACTAAGGACAAGCAGGTAATGATCGGTTGGCTGTTTGCTCGGCCCCTTTTCTGCAGAGGAGCACGCCTACTCTGATGTTTCCCTTGCTGGCCCCTGCGCTATCCCTTGGTGCTTGCTACTGTTGCCCTTTGCTTAGCTCTGGTGTTTGCCCTTGGTCCCGCATCCCCACACCCCAGGAGTCGTACGTGAGTAAGACAGGCGCACCTCCTTCAGGCTGTTGGGGTCGTCCGATCGCGGCCGTGGCGTACTGACACGTCCAGACCATCTCACTTCGTCTGGCTCGCTGTGCAGGACACAAGCATCGAAACTGCTGCTGGCAGTTCTTCGAGAAGTCCAGGCGCGGGGGGGGGAGGGGCCGCCCATGCTCTGAAATACGGTCCACGTTGCTCAGGAGGGGCCCTGGTTTTCGGGCAGTCCAGTAGGTCTGTGTCGGGGAACCTCTTCGTGGCCGAGGCTCGCTTTGGCCAGAAAAGCCGTGTCGTTTCCTGTTCAGCGTTCGTTGTGCACACGGTGATTGCATTTCGGCCCACTCGTGCCGACGATGGCCCGCCCCACAGCTTCTCGGAGGGAGTCGCATCACTGGGCGGCGAAGCCTCGCCAGGCATCACGCTGCCCGCGCCCCTCTCACCCCACCCGCTCGGCCCCTGCTCGCGCCAGGCACCTGCCCCCCGCTCCCGCCGCGGGTGCTGCGAAGTGCGCAGGGCGGGCCTCCTCGTTGAATGATGCACAGATCCTCGCGTCCTCCTCGTCAGCTGAACATAGGAGAAGGAGGAGGAGGAGGAGGAGGAGGAGGAGGAGGAGGAGGAGGAGGAGGAGGAGGAGGAGGAGGAGGAGGAGCAGGGGGAGGAGGAGGAGGAGGAGGGGGGGAGGAGGAGGAGGAGGAGGAGGAGGAGGAGGAGGAGGAGGAGGAGCAGGAGGAGCAGGAGGAGGAGGAGGAGGAGGAGGA